ATTAAATTTTTAACTTGACGGATTTTCGAAAACAAGCACATGAAACTTAAACTTGATTTTCTTTAGATTCCTAACTTTGTGTCAATAACTCAATAGCAAACTCTTTTAGATTAGGTTTTATAAAATAACAAGGTCTATTTTTTCTTTTTTTATTCATCTGAAATTTTTCATATTCGTGAGCTTGCATCTATGACATTTGGCACATATTCAAGCTAGCATATAATATCACTAACCAGAACTTGCTCTTTATCATCTTCTTCCCCACTTATCGCAAAACTTTTCGTTCTTTGTTCGCTTCTACCTTTCTAAAGTTTCATGCTCCTCTTGTCTTTCTAACTAAAAAGTCAGTGGTCATCGAATTTGTCAGATAAATTTTGCTCCTATGGCGTAAATCCATACACTTGCGTATATGAATTGACACTAAAGAGAATGGCCTTATCTTATTGATAGCGATAAGAGCATGTTTAACTTACTACTGTGTAAATATGTACTAACGTATTTGATCGCTTCGCTCACAACTACCGCCCTCAAGATTACGTTCAAACTATTGTCCAGATATCGTTCATAAAATCCATGACTTGATCTCATGAATGGCAGCTTGTTGAAGTTGTTTAGGTCTTACCTCATAATTAGAGCTGTAAAGTTCATAACAAAACAAAGCAGGTAGAAATGACTCAACAAATAATTAAAATGGAAATTTCCAAATTGCCTTTTAACTAGTGTTTTCACCTTCAGTCATTATTTGAGTTTGTTATCTCAAGCAATTTAACTTGTCATAAAATCTGTCGATTTGTTTGAGTTTGTTTTATACATCACTTTGATAATTAAATAATATAAGAGCTTGCTGGAAAGCCAAGTATATCCTATCTTTCTGCAAAAATTCAAGATATGTAATAGATTACAAACGTAAAAACGAGAGAGGTCTTGCTGTCCTTGAGATCTATTTGGTTAAATTTTTCAAGCCAAGCGTGTTGTGTGTGAATATGCAAAATCTCCAATTTTTTTGGCTAATTCCAACCTTTTTCTGACTAAGGATTTGGAAAAGCAATTTAGAAGAGCTTATAAGGAAAGATTCCTCTAATATTAGGTATTTCTTGACAGGTCCCACAAATCCTACTTCTTAAGTCGAACTCTCTTGTTAATCCATAGGATCATTAGACTATTTTTACCCATATCCTCTCTTATCTACTTTTACCTCGTAATTATTCATGCAAAACTCCAAAGCCATCAAGGTCCGCATACCATCGTGAAGGACGTATGATTGTCGCAGGGGAAAAAGATGTTGCGACACTCGATCATCGTGTTCTTTGCGATAAAAGAAAGCGGAAAAAAGAACATTGGAAAGCGTTGACATTTCCCATTGCCACGTGGTATGCGTGCGATTACAAACTCGTCCACATTTGCACCTTGTTTCGTGCCAGTCCACCAGTCTTCGTGAGCGGCACTGTACTCTCTCCCTTCCCATACGGCCATAATTCGATTTGTCACCAAGCCGAGAGTTTGCGAGTTACCCTCGACTATTTGCTAGTGTCCTTTCCTAACTCCCATTTTGTCACTGTTTTACTCTTACAGTAATTTTTCTCTATCGAGTCCTTTAATCTCATTAAATCTCCATCGGTCATTGGTCATTCGTTACGTGCTACTCAACGATTCTCGCGCAAGTATTCTTGATTTATATCGAATCTCGCTCTCGTCCTACCATTGCTCAAGGTTATCGCTGCAGATTTCGCGCAAATACAACTAAAATCTTTAGAAAAATCGATTTTTTGATCCATATATCTGTAGTGAATCTAATGTTCTCCTTTTGTATGCAACAAAACATGTTTTGTTGCTTGTCATGCGTCGTTCTTTCACGCTATCGATCCAAAATCAATTTATGGAAATTTTTGCGCTGATAACACCTATGATTGAAGAAATTACCATTCTTTGGGAATTGTTTTCATTGATCACAAATTTCTGTTCACTTCAGAAAATGGTAGGTAGTACCCAGTTGCATATAGTCAAAAAACGTGAAAAAATGTTCAACTCACTCCCTCTCCCCCCGCCCTTACCTTCGATTCTTCTCCTACCTTCTGTAAAAAAGTCAAAATATCATTTTTATTGAATGCTGATAATTTGAATGTTTACCAAATTAGGGAGCTCCAACTAATTTTTACTTTCTAACTTAAATAAGCAGTAAACCTTTGCAGATTATGCAAACATGTATGTATAGCAAACTACATCTTCTGAAAAACC